AGACTTGCTTGTGGAGAATAATACGGTATCAACGGAACTAATGTGGATTGCAGAAGGGCCTAACAAGGATGTACCCACTTTCAGTGGGTATAAAATCAATGGTGTGACCTACAGCACCAAAGAACGTGATGATATGCGTCAAGTTCAGTGTAGTGGTGTTTGTGTAGAAGCTCAAACAATGCTCGTAGTTGGTAAGGAAAAAAACATCCAGCATGGTACACACACATTTTACGGTGTTATCGTAGAAATTTGGGAGTTAGACTACAACCATTTTAGGGTTCCCATCTTTCGTTGTAAATGGGTAGATATGAATAGAGGGGTTAAGGTAGATGATTTGGGATACACTGTGGTTAATTTGAACAAATTAGGTTTTCAGAATGACCCATTTGTGTTGGGGAAACACGTCATGCAAGTATGTTACATTGATGATCCTCTTGAGAAACTATGGTCAATTGTCCTAAGATTACATGAGAAAAACTATATGGACATTGATGAAGATAGTGAGGGGTCTGTTGAATAAGAACTCGAGGAGGAGTTGGATGTGAGATTGTTACCACCCAACCACGCAATAAATGAAGATAACAGTAATTACATGCGAGAAGAAGATGAATTGATTGTGTTGGCATAAGTTTTGTTAACCGTTAAGTGGGCCAATTTTTGTATTTTGCTCTGCCAGAGGGTGTATTTTAGGTGGATGTTGGGTGCAGTTTTTTGTCATGATCTGCACTTCATGTCTCTTGGAGAGTCCTAGCTAGCCCTCCTGTACCTGTATTTTCCTGGTACTGTGTGTTATGTCACTCTGTATTGCGTTTTGCTTTCTGTGTGGAATCATACCGGCTGTTTTGGGATGGTAATGGCCTTGTGTTTCAAGCAATTGATTTATACTTCCAGGTAAATTAATTTTGTGTTTTCCTGCATTTTGGGGTTTATGGCTGCCCTTTGGGTTTTATTCTTTGTTTTATTATATAAAATGTTGTACTGTCAAGGTTTAGTTTATTGGTTTTCATGATGTGCAGTTCATGTCGATATGCTAGCAGTGCTTGTCCTCCTGTATATTGATGTTGCTGTCTCTTAAATTGTGTCCTTCTGATGGATACGTTGGGCCATAGTTTTTTTGCTTTTTGGGTATAACAATAATGCTGTTCACTTGGTGGCTTTTCCCATGGTTTGTACTGTCAAGTTTTGTTGGTGTGTTTTTCCATTTTGGTTTCTGCTCTAAGGTGTGTATGATTACTTTTAGAATGGATGATTGAAGGATGAACCTGCTTCAAGGATATTAACGGAATGCTTGAAGGATGAAGCTTGAGGGATATCCATGTTGGTGAGTCATTTCCTAACTTCAAAGATATGTACTATTTCTTGGATACTTGTTGCTCATTGCCTTTATTTGCATTTACCACTATTAAAAAGAACCAACTTTTGGCCTATAACTGATCATGTTTTGGAGGCATCGTTATGAAAAATTGCAGCACCAAAGCAGTTTCTTGAGCAAAAAAGTTGTTCTTTGGTTGTCGCACTCCATTCCTCAGTAAACCTTGGGTCATACATTCTATTTGCATCTCGCCATCTTCTAAATGTTTTTTTGTTTTATGATGTGAAATTGATGGATTGTATGGGTTCCCAATTCCCTTTGTGTGTAGCGGGACAGTACCCAGCCTGTCCATGTACAAATTATTTCGTTTGAATGGAAGTGTTTATTTTTTCATGTCCATATAAATCTTTAAAACAACGGTTGTTTGATTGTTTGGGCAGTAGTTTTTGAGTGACTGAGTTGAACTCTTAGGGGGGGGTGAGTTGGTTTGGAGTGCTTGACTTGTTTTGGATTGGGGTGGGTTTTGAGTGTGTTGGAATTGTTTGCTGTGATGCTTTGGAAAGCTATAGTCTGGACAGGGGCATTAAGATAGGGGGACAAGACAGCTGCTGCAATTGGGACCAAAGAAACCAACCAATCTTCAGCTCCAAAAAAAACAGCCCAGGCAGTGACCAAGACAGCTCCATTTTGTTTCTTGTCATGCTTTGATCCATTTTGTTTGCTGTGATGCTTTGGTTTCTGCAATTGTTTGCTGTGATGCTTTCGAAAGCCATAGTCTGGACAGGGGCATGAAGATAGGGGGACAAGAGAACTGCTGCAATTGGGACCAAAGAATCCAACAAACCTTCAACTCCAAAAAAACAGCTCAGGCAGTGACCAAGACAGCTCCATTTTGTTTGCTGTCAAAAGAAGGCTTTGAAAGGTGATGAATCTATTGTGGATGGTTTTGGTGATGCTGCCATGCCAAAGCCAGGAGGCCAAGTTCCCATCCAATTCTCTTTGTGTGTTGTCCATGTACTTTTTCTTTTCTTTCAATGGAAGTGTTTATTTTTTCATGTCCGTATAATTGTTTGGGACAACGGTTATTTGATTGTTGTATAAATTTTGCCTGCAAGTATGAATGTAAAGTTAGAGAGCGTATACATTTTCATTGTAAAAAAGATTACCGTATCTCCAAACTTTTAAAATAGTTTTAGGCTTAAGAGCTAGACTACTATTTAAAACGAGTATTCTTAACTTTTAAAATAGTTTTCTAGGCTTGATATGTACAATTCTCTTAAAAACAGTTTTCTTTACTTATTATAGATAATTGTGAAAAAAATAGTGTGACACACACTACTTGTAATACAATACTATTTCTTATAAGTTTAAAACAGTTATACATTGGGAAACCAGACTTCTGTTAAGAAATAGTAGTCTTAACTAATTATTGACAATTGTGGCAATAAAGACTGTATTTTTTTACGAAACCGACTACTAATAATAGATGACCGTTTCTCACAGCTTCAAAAACAGTTCTACCCATAATTTATAGACTATTGTTCTAAAAGAGTCTTCTATTCCTATTATAAACAACAGTGGCAAAAAACCCATATGAAACAGACAACAAACGTTAGTATTGACAAAGATTATTTAAATTTTTGTCAAGATCTTATTTTGGGGTCTGATAACAAATTTTTCTCATAAGAATTGATGTTATTGACAACTGTTGTAAGAAAAACTGTATCTTGAACTGAGACAGACAACTAATGATACATTACCGTTTCTCGAAACTTGAAAAATAGTTTTAAAGCATCGCAGCTAGACTACTGTTCTGTTCTTAAGAAAAACTAACAGTAGTCTGTTTTTTTCAACTACTGTGTTTGCATAAACAGTAGTGAATCAACAGTGGTCTGATGATGTTTTTGGCATAGTGTGTAAACATATTCTTGTAATCCTACTATTCTTCTATATAGTGAAAGAATCTCCATTTTGGAGAATTATAAACTCTTGTTTTCTCACTACTACATTAATTCTTAATTGCCTATCTTAACTTCACGAAGCGGGAAAGATCGAGCATTTCCCAACAGTATATATGGATTACATGTTACCCAAAACTAAATATATACTCCGTATATAATTTTGAGGTGTAAACATTTTGTTTTATTTATCTGTGGTGTACATATATAGATATAGAGAAAGAAAAAAATATATGCAAGTTTTTTAAGGAAAAAAAACACAATCGGCTTTGACTGTTCTTTTTAAAATGAATTTGTTTATTGTAAAATAAGAATGAATCAGAATAAAAGTTATGGATGATTTGGAGTGTGGGTTTAAAAAATAATAATAAATAAAAAAATATCATTTTCTTCAGTTTTGGTTGGTCGTAGCCGAAATTGTTGGAATGCATGAGTTCAACCATTTCTGTGTTGTTAAGTATTGACTAAAAGGTTGATAATTGAAAAACACAATTTATTCAAGTCAAGATCAAAGTGCTATACCGACAAACACGAAGACTTGAATTGCCATTCCTTAAAGTATTCGAGAAGGTGCACAATATTTTATTGGAGTCCTAGACGTGTTCGGAGCGCCTAACAGAGGACTCGGAGGAGTAGAAGATTTCCGAAGACTTTTTATTTATTTGAGGCTTAGGAATAATTGTAAGGATGACAAAAATATCTTCTCTCGAAAATTTATTTTTATGAGAGTTAAAATAAAAATTATATTTATTTTTGGAGTCAGTAGAAAAATTCTTTTAACTGTACAAAAAACATTTATTGAGTCAGTTTCAAAAGGAGTGTCAAACATTTATCAAAATATTTATTTTGATATTAAAAAATATTTTAGGAAAGCAAAAATATTTTATTCAAATATTTTCGTGTTCATCGTTTGACACACAAGATAATTTTGGACTCTATTTCTACACTCCAAATATCTTTCATTTATTCCAAATTAATTTTGAATAATGTTTGAGGTGATGGGGATCCTTCGCCTGAAATTTTTGTTGGAAACAAACCTATAAACTCAATTTTATCCTTCCAACTCGCCCACATGCTTGTGTTCTTCATGTCTGGGCATTATTGTTGCAATAATCGATTATTACCTCTGAAATTAATCGATTATCTCGTCCAGAAGGAACTAATCGATTAATCCTTAGGCTTTAATCGATTATCACTTTTCGGCTTAGAAGGAATTTTGTTCAGGCAGATTTAATCGATTTTTTCGGCTGCATTAATCTATTATGGTGATGCACTAATCAATTCTGAGGATGCATTAATCGATTATTATGCTGCATTTTTCATCACAGCTTCTTTTCTTGGACCAACGGATATATTTTTTCACCTCCTATTTAAACACCCTTCCTTGGTCATTTTTAATAACAAGAAACACTCCAATACTCCCCATTCTTGAGGTGTTCATCCTCCATCATTCTTTCCTCAAATTTAAATTATTTTGAGAGAAAATTATATTTGTTTTCAAGAGAGGTTTCTTGTCATCCATTAGAGCTAAACATTTTCTCATTCCTACTCTTTTGAGAGCTATTATTGAGAGGTTAAAGAAGAGTGTTCTTCTTGGTGTACAAGACTTATGTGACTTAAGTCTTGGGTGTAAAAGTCTTATAGAGGGCATATCTACGAGAGGTTGTGTCGAGGCTCGTGGGATTCAAGTCCTCGAGTTGTAAACGGTTTGTTAAGCACTCGTAAGCTTAACGGAAGTAGTGGTAGCTTCGAGAGAGTCTCTCGGGGAACTGGAGGACTTCCCAGGGGTTTCGGCAACCCTTGTTGTGTGTGGCTACCCGACGCACGTTGGAAGTTCACGCAATTCTTTGTGCTCGCCTGAAAGTTTTTAAAAGAATCAAACACATAACTCGCAAAAAAAAGACGATAAGAACAAAAAGGGGTGCAACACGAGGACTTCCCAGGGGTCAGTATACATCGGTGTGTTCTTTGTCTTCTCTCTTTTATTTCTGCTGCACTTACGTTTTATATTATTAATTCTGCGAAAATCGGTAATCATTCTCAACAACTCTATTCATCCCCCTCTAGAGTTGCACGCCTTGTCTAACAGAAATAAGCTATACAAGTAAACAAAGAAGTTTTTTTTCTTTCTTAAGGTACGGTCTACAAAAAAAAGAAACAAAATGATAAATAACTTGAGAAGGAATTTTGAGTGTTGTAACTTTGTAATAAATAAAAAGAAAAAAACAACAAAGTTTTTTTCCCATGGGCAGAGAGGAGCGGAGTAACTTGAGAAGGGTATGAATTTATACGGATACTTTTAGTATTTATTTCTTACACGAGATGCACTTTTTTTTATTTTATATGAAGGAGGGAGTAATTGATAAATAGAATTAAAGGTGTAAATTTTTATGCTTGTCATACTTGAATGGTGATTGTTGTTTAATGCAATAATGAGATATATTTTTATGCAAACAACGAGATATGTCGTATTTGATTCATGATTGAATAAAAAAACAAAACTAGTTCAATTAAATAAACTATATTAGGGTTAACTAATCATTTAGTGGACAAAGTAAAAACTCTAAAGTTCTTTTAACGACATACTCTGACCAAGTATTGTCACGTTTAATCAAGTGGGTCAAACCACATGTTATAAGGCCGGATCGTATGTGTCCAAATGGATGAGCCTACAAATAATCATACCAAAACGTGCGCACGAGAACCCAACGATGAACCCGTGGTTCTAGGGTTCACTTCTGATTACTGGACCCGAGGTCACGGGGAGGTATCCGAAGTAAAACTACGAATCGACTAGTGCGATGTTCCAGCCTAGTCACGTCTTAATCTCTAATTTAAGGTTAACCTAGTATGGTCAAGAATTTTCTAAATGTCCCCAAGTA